CATACGGGGAGCACGTTAGAGGTCCAGAAATACTGGATTTGATTCTGGAATTCGATAAGCACATTGCTTATTGAATTTTGTACGGAGGTCCGAAGCGCGACAGAGATTTCAGAGTCTAGAATCACACGACCACATTGGATAGTTGGGATCGGGGGTCGTTTATTATTGAGGTCGTGGAAAGAGATGTAATTTAGTATTTTGACTATGTTGGTATCATATTAACTTTAGTCTCATTGTCTACAAATCTACTTTTCTTAAACATTACAAAAACAATTCTTCAGAAAGATAAAAACATGATTTGATTGCTAAGCTAAAAATTATTTTCATGGAAAAACAAACCAACATTATTTTATTGAGCTAATTGCATATAAGCCCATGTACAATTTCGAATGGCCGAAAAAATCCCCATGTTAAAAAAATTAGCATAAACCCTCCTATATTGTTTTTAACAAAGCACATCGCCCCTTAATATTAAAATGGGCAGTTGACCTACATAAAATGACGAAGTTACCTTGATGAATTTATCTACTATAAACAAAATTAAGAAAAACAAAAAAACAAAAAAAATATATAATGTTCTTCTTCCTGGTCAAAACGCCCAGCCGCAACTCCCAAACCCACCGCCGTCGCCGGATTCCGCCTCACCTCCCGAATCTCCGCCATTTTGTCCTCCAACCTCATCACCGCCTAGCCCATCGGCTAAATATTCGCCTCCGCCATCAGCAGACGACCGCCACCAACCAAAGACCACCTTCCATCAGCCCTGCCCCTTCCACTACACAGGCACTCGCGGTCTAGGTGAGAAGCTTGCAGATCGAAGCAAAATGGATGAAGTTGAAGAGAGGGGAAGCAAATTGCAATAACGTCTGTCACTTTTGGTGTGTGTGTGTGTGTGTTTTTTTTTTCACGATTTCTCCATTTCTCAAACTAAATCATGGACAACCAAATCATCGTGGGCGGATTGTAGGGATTCTGCTGCTCAACTTTGGAATTTGGAATCGTGGGCGAATCGTGTGTTTTGTTTAATATTGTTGGACGGTGAGGAAGAGGGTCTTTCTGAAAACATTAGGGACTTGGATTAAAAAACATTAAAACTTTCATTTTGGGCTTGTAATTTTGGATTGAATTTGTAATTTGCGGAATATTTTTTAAAGGATATTTTGGTCTTTTTTAGTCCAAAAACAAATGCCCAATCGCACAAACCGTGAGTGTATCTCACATCGAGCTCAGGGGGTCTTTATTGCCTTTGACTAATTTTCACAGGGTGGTTTGTGCTAATTTATTTAACATGAGGGCTTTTTCAGCAATTCAAGATTACATAGGGGTGGTTTTTGCAAAAAAACCTACAAATTTGTTTTCTAAAAGTATCTCTTTCACGGAACCTTTAAACATGAATTTTTAAACATGAATTAACTATTACAACATTGTTTCCCCTTCTTAAAAAAAAAAAAAAAAGAAAAAAAAGACATTATTGTTATTTTTGAAATTTCCCATGAAACATCATTTTCCAAAGGGGGCAGCTATTTTGAAAACCGAAACTTTCTCAGTTCAATGCCTGTTATTTGAATACCACGTTTTATCACATGTTTTCCAACCCCTGTCATCCTTCCAATCACCATCATCGAAAGATCATGACTAAATCACAAGCATATAAAGAACGAATTAGGTTTAAAAAAAAAATTATTCTTTGAAATTGCTTCCAAAACTTGTTAAATTAGGAAATATAGGATGATTATTAGATTAATATGTATGTTGAGCATTGAATGTTGGTTAATTGTTGTTGGGTGCACTTGATTTGGTCATCTTTGTCGTGAATTTGAATTGATGTTGTGCAGGTAATTTTCGACATGAATGTGTCGATTTTTTAGCAAGTTATGAAAAGTTGTGGATTTTTTTAGTACAAAGTGACAAATGGCTTATCGAACTCAAAAATAGACAGCAACTTGTCGCACATTACATGTTTCATTTATTTTTCCAATTTTGTTAAAATTGTGTAATGATTTTTTACTTTTTTTTTTTTTTTTTTATTGTTTGCAAGGGATCTCGTCCACCACCGACTGTTTCAAACCATAAGAAAAGGCCCGAAAGCCCTGGTCGAGAAGGGCAAGAGCAAACAGCCTGCCCCCGAACAAAGTGCACCTACACGGCCCGACGAAGGTCCTTCATCATCGGTTGCCGTGCCGACTCCCGTGCCGCTCTACCCACTCCTTCACCAGTCCCATCGACCACTGAAGCCGGTGGTTCAAGCAACCAACCACACCCAACTACATTTAGAGGTCCTTAAATATCGGAGTTGATTACGGAATTCGATAAGTACATTGCTTATCAAATTTATCGAATTATGTCCAGATTCCGGAGCACAACATAGATTTCAGAGTCTCGCATCATACGACCACACTGGAGAGCTGGAATCGGGCATCATTTATTACTGAGTTCGTGGAAAGAGCTAAAATTCAGCATTCTGGCAATGTTGGTATCATTTGAACTTTAGTCTCATTGACTCCACAAAATAAATCTACAAATCTACTTTTGTTAAACATTACAAAAACAATTCTTCATACCAATACAAATTTATCTCCCTTTGAAACATGATTTGACTGCAAAGATAAAAATTATCTTCACCGAAAAGCAATAGTCTAAACAAATTCTTTTTACATCACTTTATTTCACAAATTCTTTTTCTAAAGTTTTTTTTTTCACATCACCTTTAAACATGATTTGTCTATTACAATAGTTTTTCTCCTTCTAAAAAATAAACAAACATTATTATTGTTTTTGAAATTTTCTTTGCAAAGTATTTTGGTCAAAAGCAAGTCCAGATATGTTGGTGGGAAAGAGGATAGAGTACAATACGTGTAGTATTGGATATTTAGGTCATTTGCTATCATCTTTAATTTCAATTAATTTATATATCCTTTGTATAAGTCTTCCAGTGGAACCATAGTAATGTAATCCTAAGTTTCTTAAATCCATCATCCACTCACTCGACTATCTATCATTCTTTTATCCCATACACAAAAGTAAACGAGCCCTTCAAGAAAGCAATCAATCCATATTAATCCAATCTAAATCAGATCCAAGTCCAATCTATTCAGATCAATTGTGGACTTGTACCAATCATTTACCACACCTACTCCCACGCCACCATCTAAAAATTACAACTATGTTTAGTACCATGACAAAATCGAACCCAACTAGGAAGGATTCAAAACCAAATAAAAATCGAACCCAACTAGGAAGGATTCAAAACCAAATAAAATACCATGTGAACTCATTATAATGATTCACGAGCAAACAAAACTCATATCACACACGCCTAGCAAATCACAGTAGTATACTAGTTGCAATCACTGAGATTTAAGATTACAGTCGCATATCCGACATTGAAAAAATATGATAAGAGAATAATTACATGTCAGGAGAGACGAGACAAGAACTGCACGGGGGAATTGCCGTATAAAACTTACAGCAGTGGCTGCTCTACCATTTTATACACACACCACTTAAATCCAAGTAACCGACTCAGTTCCTGGACCCTGTGCTGACAACACCATATGCCGTGTAAATTCTCTCTCTCAACTCTCAACATCATTGGGGGTTTATCTTTCTCCTCAGCTCTAGTTGTGCAGCCGAGTATTTTGCCTCAAACTGAGAACCTTTCTATTTCAATCAAACTAATCTTCTTAGTTGTGTTTCAAAATCATCATCCTCAAAAAGTGTTGTGTCATTAATCAACCTTTGGCAAACTCTAGAACCATATCTCTTTACGGGAAGATAATACAGCCACTCATGACAGCACAAACCAGATTGCTGAAATGCAAAGACAATAACCCGTCACATACTCAACCATTGTAGTGATTTTGGGAACCTTGAGCCTGCTGGGATGAATGGTGTTGCTGAGGATTTTGTACATTTATCGGCTGTGAGTTGTAGTGAGCAAAAGGCTGTGAGTATAGGGGGTTCAGCAAACTCTGTAACAAAACGAGTAACTCAACTATCAGACATAGGAAAGAGGGATGAGAAAAAAAAATTGCTCAAGATAAAAGCAAAGTTCTATGAATATTTTCAAGAATTTCCATCTGAGACTTCATAAAACTTCGGCTTTCATAAACTTCAACTAGTTAAAATATCTGCCACTTCCGTCAATAAATTTAACAATATTATGAACCAAAAGAGACAAAGGAACCTGTGACTGAAGTTGACTTGCACCAAAATGGTTCTGAGAAGCATCATCTTGAGATTGATCATTGTATGGAGCCTGCGTAAATAATCCTTGCGACCCATGGGCCATATACTCCTGTAATAATAAAGGTCTTAACATTACATATGAAAGGCAAAACGAAGGTTGAACTTTAGCAGACCCCTATTTCAATAGACATGCTGTTGGGCACATCTAATGAAAGATCTTATCATCTACATTTCAAATCTAGATAAGATCCAATTATATCAGTCAAATCACTCTATTAAGCAAACAGCATACTAATTACTATCATAAAGCAGAAACCAAATTTTAAATATATGACAATTTTGAATATTCATGAACTGATACTATTCATTTTTGTCCACTCCAAAGAGATATACTCCATTGAAAAACATTTTTTTTTTGTCAAACATTAACGACATCAAGAAGACGCTACAAATACGTCTAGGAGATATAACTCAATCTCACATTCTCTTTTCCTTTTCTGTAACCAAGAATTCACTGTAGTATGTTACATAATGTATGGAATTTTTTTCTTCGAAATTCCAAATTTGTGCATTAATGCAAACATTGTATGCTTTTCTTTACAGATTTCGAAATCTAAAATTTACATTGCTCCATAAAAAGTAGAGTTCCGCAAAGAAATGTTGTTGATATGTAGTTACGAGAAAATGAGATTTTCAAAAAAATCCACTAAAGCTGTCATTTAAAAACCTAGTGACAACACTGGAATACAATGTTTCCTTCAAAACTGGATAAATTTATCTATAGGGAAGCAAGGTAGAAATGAGTTATACCAAGCCTCGTGCGAAATAAAAAAAGGACTTGCTCCTAACCTGAGACATGTAGTCATTTCCTGGAGCAAAACGAGTATAACCAGCTTGAGAGTTCTGGTTCAAGAAGCTCCCAGGAAATCCACCTTGAGCTCCTTGTGTAACGTAGTCGACAGCATACCCACTCTGAGAAGCCTAGAAAGTAAATCAATGGTAAAAACAATCATCAGTTCATCGAACAAGGAAAATCAACAATGTCATCACAATAACAACAATCATACTAAATGGACATACTGGTGAAAACAGGCATACAAAATTCCCAAGTACCTGAGTGGAGAATTCAGCAACATTATATGGGATATGCGAGCCCTGACTTTTAAAATCATCTGCCAAGAAATCCTGCATATGCGCAAATAACAAGAGTAAGGAAAACCATCGAACACATACCAATGTTTGTTAGACGCTTAATGCATTACCTGAGACATGCCACTCATAGAGAATCCATCCCTATATGTTTGACTTGGTCCTTGACCCGTCACCTGTAGTTCGCATAAAAAGAATATCTCATGCTTTTATCAAATTAGTTTTGACAGAATACACTGTGAGCAGTAGAAAAATTTACAAACTTGTGGTGAAACTAACATTAGAAACATAACCAGGTTGAGACAGTGGTCCACCCACATTTGGCTGGCTGCTAGCATTCTCCATGGACGGGAAATTGAAGTTAGAAGGAAGACTTCCAATAGGGGGTTGTGTGCCTTGCTGTGGTGCAAGATGACTACCAATAGGTGCACTGGAGTTCCCCCGCCCAACACCAAATCCTCGACTTCCGGGTTGCGGAATTTGAGGAACAGCCCCCACAGGTCCATGTACAGCACCACGAGCAGGAATGGCATATGGCTGCGATGGAGGCCCTCCATGGAATGGAGAAACGGGTACCCGAGGCATTCCATAACCAGAAGGATGAACACTGGGTTTATGAGCACCATTAGGTGGGCCAGTAGGCATGTAAGGACCTGCTGCAAGAATAAATGATTTACCTTTCCAATATGATTCAACAACTATCTACTCAATTTATAATCTCTTATTAGAGAACAATAGTTTAAGCTTAAAGAAGGCAATAATTTAAGTCAAGCTATTTCCAGCAGCAAACAAATTTCAGTGAAGCTCATCATAAGAATTTGGACAACTTGTATCGCTATGAAAAAAGACTAGCAGAAATAACATACCCCTAGAGCGAGGACCCCTTCTATCAGTGTTTGAGCTTGAGGCACCAAAGGCATCACTGGGAACAATTCCTGGTCCACCACCATAGAAAAGTCTGCGATCATTGTATATCTGTGCCACATTAAAACCACAACACCCATGTCAAAGTATTCAAAAACAATCAACTAAAATATCTACTTCAAATTTAAAAATAATTAGGTAGTATTTCAATTTAGCAGCTGTTTTACCCAACACTTACCTTTTTAGGCTTCTGAAATTGAACCATACTCTGCTTCAGGTTGCTCAGAGGTCCTTCAACCAAGCACTCATGTTCCTAATGAAACAAAATTTCCGAAGAAATAGTACATTAATAACATATTGCAACAGGATTGTACAACAATTTGAGTAAAAAAATTCAAGCGTTAAACTATCAAGAAACCAAATTCGTAAGCTTGAAAAAACATATTTTCATAATGAAGGTTACTAAAAAACTAGAACGTCCTTTTTATGAAAGGAGCAAAAAGGAACTAATAAAAAGTAACTACCTTATAGTGTGTTAATAAGCCATTCCATAGAGGCTGCTTGCTTAGAACTTTAGGATTTCCCAAGATAACAATACCATAACGAGCACGTGTGAGAGCAACATTAAGCCGGCGTGGATCATTGAGGAAACCAATGCCCTGAACATAGAAAAAATGAGTTTTAGATCAGGGAACAATAATACAACAAAATGTACAAAGAAGCAAAAAGTTCCAGGTATCCACAGCACTAACACAACGCTAACATTACATATTTTATCAAATCTTTTGTGAAATCTTTTCAAAGACGCCTGTTCCAAACATCATACACAAATTTTACAGGTGTTACCCACTATAGCAAGATATGTGAACCTATGTTATGTACCATGACCAGGATGAGGCTTCACATATACTCTAAGAGGAAATCGAAAACTTATTGTAGTTTCTGAACCAGCAGATAAGAGTAGATTAAGAGAAATTGGTGCAGGCGCTGTAATCTAAAATGAAAGTACATACAGGAACATGTAGGGTTTGATCAAATCTATTGCAGGATTGGGATGATCAAATCCTGATTGGATAGGACTCTCTGCAATTCTTTAGACATGGTAATAGGGTGGATCACCTAACAAGCCAGAGGCCTGGATACAGTCGAAAACTTAATGTAGTTTCTGAACCAGCAGATAAGAGTAGATTAAGAGAAATTGGTGCAGGCGCTGTAATCTAAAATGAAAGTACATACAGGAACATGTAGGGTTTGATCAAATCTATTGCAGGATTGGGATGATCAAATCCTGATTGGATAGGACTCTCTGCAATTCTTTAGACATGGTAATAGGGTGGATCACCTAACAAGCCAGAGGCCTGGATACAGTACCCAGGTATCAAATCTTCGAGAGCCCACCTCAGATACATTTTTCCCCAAAAATTTCTTGAAAGAAAAGAGATGGTTTACTTGGTTATGTCCGGGCATCACTATGTTGATGGCTACAACGATGACTTTCGGCAGTGAACTAAACGAAGCAGAAAACCAGAAGAAAAGGGAGAAAGACCAAGAGAAGTCCTCCATGAACAGCCGAAGTGAGAAAGAGAAAACAGGAAAGAAGAAGAAGGAAAGAATAGAAGGAGACAGAAGAAAAAGGTGATGGCAAATCCATGATGCGCAAGGCATTCTGCAGAGGAAGAGACAAGAAGAGGGAAGAAACGGAAAAGAAAGGAATGAAGAAGGATCTGCTGGCAGCAGGCAAAGATATGAATAACGGTGAAGAAAACAAGAAGGTTGAAAGGGAGAGGAGGAAAACATAGAAAAATAAATTCATAAAAACCCCCAAAACAAACACACACACACGAGCAATCGCACCCCATATCCTAAATTATTTCACCACAAATCTTAGGAAGCAAACACAAAATTAAACTACTCAATCCTAAGGCACCGACAAATAGCCAACGTCAATCTGCTAATACCATCCCCAAAACCAAACAAGGCACGAGTTAGAAGTATGAGAAATGTAGTATGCTAAGGAGAATATTCTGCACAAGCTTGAGAACCCACCTGATGTTCATTACTCCTCACGCAAGACAAAATTATATAGTCTTTTTCCCTTCCCTGGAATGAATCTACACTAGCTACCTGAGAAATAAACTTTTTTCAGCTTCCATCTCGGGTAGACATGATAAAATCAATTTATCAATATCACCAAATTACCTCAATTTCTTTGTATAGTTGCTGCCGTAAAGCACCATTTCGGGACATATAATTCACAATGTATGCTCGCTGACCTTCATAAGGTGTTATAACACCAATCTGCAGAATGCAACATAAAAAAAAATCATTCTCTAAGCCAAAATTGAACCAAGCAGCAAACCTTAAAGATAGAGAAGTTTCCAACAAACCTGACTAGGAACAACACCACTTTTCAAAAATGTAGTCACAATTTTCTCAACATTTGCAGCCTCAGTCCTATTTAGGTATGATGTTCCACTAGCACTTATCTCCTCTTGTCCCATCTGTAGAAGTCAACAAGAAAGTTAACTAATCTTTTTAGAACTAAAATGCAAGGGAATAAAAGGAGAATAGATTAATGTATTTTTCTCCAACATCCAACTTAAAGGAGATGGAGTTCTTTTATCTCTCGGTAAATGATTCCATGATAAAACAGAATATAAAGGCATGCCATGTACAAGGTCAGTCTACAAAGTCAAGGCAATGCAGCATAAGCCACACAAAGGAACTATCTTCCATTAATATCATCTTAACTAAATTATGAACATAAATCATTTTAATATACCTGTACATAGAAGAACATAGGACGGTTTGGTACTGGCCAGGGGAAATCAATGCCGGGTGATTGCCTTTCGTTTATGGTCACTCCATTTTGAAGAGTACCTTCATAAAAGCTGTTAGATGGAAACTCTGAAAGAGCTGGATGCATCCTATATTGAACCTACAAAAACAAATCCAAAGATAATAACGTTAAAGGTTCACAATCATATGAAAACACAAATATGAATACGCACAGTTGTCAAAAATTATATAGACAGTGTGGCCTAATTGACAAAGCATTATCTGATGCAAACACTTCATGCTTCAGGAAGTTAAGTGCATACATAGTTACAGAGTATACTTCATACATACATCACAGAGAACAACAGAAGCAAAAGAAACTGTACAATGTGACACAGATTTGTAAGTGTCGCAAGAAAATTATTGCTGTTATTAATGCTTGGTCTTTCCCTTCTCTGATTTGGGTTGGGGAAGGAAATGGAAGGAGGAGGGCGGTTTGCAAAACTTCTATAGTCACAAGATATCCCAAGGTTTTACACAATATTAGAGACATAAAGAAAATTTAAGAAGTTCGTAAACAAACAAAACCATCACAAATGGAAACAGCAAATAACAATCACCTGCAATCTAATTGGTTTCACACCAAGCAGCACAAGTCGTTCAAACAGAGATTGGGCTAAACCAGCCCGGGCAGCTTTCTTGCACATAATGACCGGACCAAGCTGGCAGTGGTCTCCCACAAGAACAACCTGCAAATCTGGTTGTCAGAGTGAATGTAATATAAACAAATATATAGAAAGCCAATTTCCTCAGTTACCTGTTTCACTCCAAGAACCAAAGGGATAAGACACTCAGGCTCCGTTGCTTGAGTAGATTCGTCAATAAGAACCTACAAAAGAATTGCAGTTTAAAAATTGGGAAAACAAAAGAGTAAGGTATTAAATGAATCCAACCAACCCCATCCCCCTCACCCCCACCCGACAACACACAAAATGTCATCAACAGAACCCCGGGGTTCGCAACAGCCCAATTTACCTGGCGGAACCTAAAATTTGCTAGCCGGGGATCCCCAGCCCCAACACATGTACAACAGATGACATCAGCACTCTGAGATATCTCCCGTTCAGTTGCTCGCTTGAGCGCTTTATATTTTTTCTCGTCACTACTAGATAACTCTCCTGTAAAAATGACAAGGGATGGGAAAACTCAGTGCTAAAGGTCCAGATGTTCAATGCATGAACCTTAAGACAAACATTTACAAATGTAACAAATAATTCAAAACAAACATGACACTTAGAGCAATCAATCCATGTTCTGTTCTTATGTGAAACAGGGAAAGTGTTGAACTGTCGCACTCCCCCAAGCCCCAATACAACATGCACTGAAGGGCTCTCACACGAAACAGAACACTTCTTTTTTTCCCGGTTTTATGTAGTGATGTTATCAGAGCATAATAAGTCTATCTATCGAAAAATTGAAATCTAAGTCACTTCACTACAGAAAAAGTTTCATCTGCTGAAGTTTATTGAAAATTTGTTATAGTGCCTCGTTCTGTTTTCAAACCATGGACGTACAGTTACTTCCTGATATTGATAAGGTGGCTCAGCTTCAGCAAATTGAACCTTTGTAACTTAGGTTTTATGTCATAGGCCTTTGTACTGTCGAACAAACTAATAAAAAACCATTTTCGTGTACCAATTTCTAAGTAACAAAGCAGACATATCGAATGTTTCAATGCCGCTAGTAGAGTATAATAAAATGAGCACGCATTAGTCCCAATTTTCCCTCTCGGTCCCAATTTTTCCCTCTCAAAGCTATAAGCAGAACCCCTCGGCCCTCATTAACTATCTCACCCATGTTACCGAATTCAGTTGAGCTCAAGTATGAACACATTCAAACTATAACATAGTTGAAAATGCAATGAGGAAACTAAACACACTTCAATATTGAAACCATTCTACAGATGCAAACTCACTCAAAGACCCAAAAAAAGTAAGTATAAACATGAGAAGAAAAAGGATAGAAGATAAAAGGATAAACCGCAGACCTTGTTCATCTTTCAGCTGCTGTAACTTGTGAAGTTCACTCTTTTCAGATGTATCGAGATGTCTAACCTGTGAGGAAAAACTAACAGGGTCAAAAAATGCATCCAAATATGGTGAACATAACAAATGAGATTCAGAAAATAAAATACTATTCCGTAACCGAACCTGATAGTGCAAGGTTAAATGCTCCACAGGAGAACTAACAGCTTCCCTTGATTTAGCACAAAGTCTGACAACCTTTATCAAGAAAAACATAAGACTGTAAATGAGAAGAAAATAGATCTCAAAACACATGGTAAAACATGGTATTTGATCCTCTCTATCTCACCCATTTTTCTCTGGCTTGGGTAAAGAAGTGTAAGAATCAGAGGGAGAACAGTTATGTGATGTCATCAGCCAAGTAAAAAGAAAGCAAATCAACAAAGCATGATTAATAATAATTGCACGTAGCCTATTAACAGCATAGAAAGAAGTATCAATTTCCCCCACTTAAACTATGGCACCAGACCCGTAGATAAATAATTCATTTATGATCATTAGTTTAATGAATAGTGAGTGCTGATAATTCAAATTTGAGGAGCAAATGAATCATGAAGCTATATATTCATATCGAAACTTGCAGTTGTAGATGAAAGAATCACTCAAGAGTATAAAATTGACACCTTTAAACCAGTGGCGCTTATCTTTTCAGCTAGCTGGTCTACAGCCACATTACTTGGAGCACAAACCAAAACCTGAATGGAAAACTAATTATGAGTGTACAGAGATAAAAAATAACAATAACCTCCTACAAAGAAAGAAACAAAAAGTAACTCAACCTGCCCCTGGCCTTGTTTTGCCATGTGATACACAATTGCAGCAGATGTCACAGTTTTACCCGTTCCGGGTGGACCTTGGATTAGGCTTATAGGCTTTTGCAGGACACTTTTGACAGCAAAGACCTATGGTCATCACAAAGTCAAGTCGAGAAAAAAAAATATTAACAAATAAATAAGAGTACAGAGAACAATCTCCCTCATTAACACTATTTTTGGAAATTTTCATGAGCTGATTAAGTCTTCATTGGAGAACCCACAAGAAAAAGCTTTTTCTAAACACTACTATGTATTAAATTGATATTAAATTAATACTGCTTGGTGATATTTAAGTAAAATTGATATTAAATTAATCAACGAACCAACAAATTAACTTCATGTATTCCCGATCAGAGCAGAAAGATTATATGCATCATAGATTTAGACGACGTAAAAGAAGACTGAATATTTTCCTCAAGACAACCAAGCACCCAATAGATACAAAAAAGATGGCATGAAAGAGAACGTAACCATACTTGAGATGCATTAAGTTCTGGAAGACCCGGCGCACCAAAACGGCGGGGCAAAGTATTACGAACCATCTGCATCTCAACTTCATGCCCAAGCAGATGATGATAAATGTACCTGCGCGTACAGAGCATTTCAGTTGAACAAAGGATAAATTCTATTAAAGCAAAGAAAAGTGCATCAAACAAGAAATAGACATTATATCAATAGCAAACTAGTTGATCCACACAAAAAAAGTGAAGCTCAATTAACACACAACCCATCTCTTTCACCAGGCCACCCACCAAGAGAATAAAATGTAAACAACACTAATACAATGTAGATATTTCATAAAAAATAACAAGTTAAAAACCAAAACAGACACTTTATAATATTAAATCAAAGCCAGTAGGAACACCTTAAAATCATTTTACTGCAATAACATAATGGATGCTGCAGCGTAACGCAGAAAGCACAATCTGATACAAATTGACCAAAGAACACAACAAATGGTTTGAAGAAGACAGCAAAAATCAGTGCATTCTGCCCTTCTTTCTTGTCCAGTTTTGGATGTCAAAGAGCATGGTATTTAGAATACATCATAAATTCCTCATCCAAGAAAAAAGGCTTCAAAAAAGGAGTAAACCAACTCCAATACAAATTTTTAACCATTGCTCTCACTTCATAATTACTTTCCAAAACAAGCAAAACATGCATACGCTAATAAGAACTCTACAAAAAAAAGAATCTTGTCACTGACCCACTGACACTGGTTTCATCCACAGCAAATGTTTTCATGGCCCCTTGCATCCGATCAAAACTCGTGCTCTTCCAAACAAAGTCGACGCTAAAACCATGGGTCAAATCAACAGGAACGCCCTGCTAGAACAGTGAATCAGATAATTTTCTTTTTTGGTCATTAACAATGAAATATGTGGTCGTGAAAAAGGATACCTGACTGGCACCAAGCTCAAGAGCAACCTCCTCTTGTGCAGTCAGTTTTATCTGAGAAGCAAAACAAATTGTTAACATTCTTTTAAAATTAAAATTACACCATTCTTTGTTTCCCTTGATAACCTTCTTCCAGTAAATAGCAAATCAGAGTATGACTCAGTTATCATCACGTAAAATAAAAACTGGGACCCAGGATAGCAGGTCATGCATATTCAAGAAACCACCAACAGGCTAACTGAAAAAGGTTGAGAAAGACATGAAAATTTAAAGTTCAGAGCAAGATGTCATACCACATGACCCACTGACTGCCACGAGGGATGAACTGCATCACCTGAATAACGCAGTCGTAGTTCATCACCAGGTACAAGGCGTAACTCATTATCTTCCTACAGGAAACATAGATTTTCCATAAGAAAACAAAGGTGGTACAGTTGTGTTTAACTAATAGGACAATAGGTTACCTTCGGAAAGACGAAATAAGCAATTCGCTTCTTGTTAAGACCGATATCCCATCGAATAGTGATACTATCTTTGCTTTGAGACTCTTTCATCATCTGTCAAGTAAATGCAATTAAAACGCTCTTAGAACTTGTAAGGTTCAGTAAAGACATTGGATTCTAGATAGAACATGAGATTTTTTTTCCTTTGTTGGGTAAATAAGAGTAAATGGAGCAGATGTTGTGTCCTTAGTTTGGATTCACATGTAGATTCAAATAGACATTCATTCAAATTAGTAAAATGCATCAAAATTTTGTAGAAAGTAATTGTTAAAATTAGTTCTTTCATTTCTGTGTTCGCTGCTTTAATATCTTTGCTAATCCAAGACCATCCATAGAAAAATTGAATGGTCAAAATTATCAAATCTCCAACTGCTAAATCACTGATCTAAATGGAAAAAATGATGTAACAAACCTAATAGCAATAAGCTCAGAGATTTTTCAGCCACTTTCTTAGTCCAAAATTGAATGTTCGTGTTTCCTATTTGTTTACTTTTTCGAATTTCATAAATAATGTCTCATTCCTCATATGATAAGTTTCTCTTCAAATTGCCCTTTCATTTGGAAGTAATGATGTTACACTATCAACTCTTTACCACTCTTAATCGTAAATGAATAAATTCCCAACTCTTATCAAGAAGTATGGTTGGTTGGGAAATGGACATTCAACGTTTGCGCTCAGGGGGTATTGTTTTTTCATTGGGTATCTCGAGAACTATATAAAAGTACAGGAACAAGGTGTGGTCGTACCTTATCGTAGTCTGCTTCCAGCTTGATCAATGGTGCGAAAACATTTTGATACTGTGAAGGGAATGCAACAATCACTTTAATTAGTGAAGGATACAAAGTAAAATTTGACATGCCAACAATAATACGCAGAACAAAATTGTGTTCAGCCAATTAAATACGACTAGCATAAATCTGAAAGAGAACCTGATAAGCATCTTCATACTTCAAAGCTACAGGTTGAGGCTCATCATCCACACCAGGCTTCTCAAGATCTTCCAAGGAAGCATCAGGATTTGACTTCCAAAGTTCTTCTATTTTATTTATCTGCTGGGCACTAATTTGTCGAGCCCTCAACTGTTCTTGCTCAGATGGGACCTGCTTTTAAAACAAATAAGAAATCCACTACAATATGAAGTCTGCACTAGCACATGAAATATAGACACACAAACCTTCAGTAACCACTGCAAGAAACATCTATCATCAATAAGAGGACACCACTGGCTCAAGTCCCAATTCATGTCCTTCAATGCATTAACACTAAGACAAGGTTCCCTACAAAGCAGAACAACAACGCTTTCTGTCTTTGCGGATATGAATCCAAGAAGGAAAACATTTCGACAACCACAGTTATAACACTCAAGAATTGTTTCTCCCAGGGGACTATCTTTGTGAAGACAAACTTCCTTATGCTTTGCTCTCACCTAAAAACATCAGAGCAAATCAAGTCAGAAAAGAATAACATTGTACATACGCGAAAAAAGGATTCTAACGCCTCTTCTTCAAAACACAAATTTAAACCCCTGAAAATATAGTTTATAGATGTATAAATAAAACAACAAACACACATAGACACAGTAAACAAAGATAATCCATTCTAGCTAGATAATGCAAAGCCATGGCATAAATAAGGTATGGGGCCATATTAAAGATATGTGAACCAGTAAATGATTGTGTCAAATAGCATGTATCTTGCAAAAAACATTTATTATAGTGTCCCAGTGACCCTTCAAGACCAGGCAACCCTTTCATGGAACTGAAACCCCAACTAAAATAATATGTATTTCAGGGTTGTATTAAGCCAAGCCAACCAAGTTTACATAAACTTGATATCGCTAGCCTCTTTTGTCTGGTTCCAGGTCTGACTTGCGTCCAGCATATTATTTTTCAAGAGTTTATATATACTTTGCTGAACTAAGTATGGAATTCTAAAGCTGACATCCCGATGTTATATTTGTCAAAGATCTAACTTCTGGGTAAAAAGAATACTGCTCAAACTTTTCGTTATCCTATATTGATGTATAATGCCATCAAATTTGCTAAAGATAATTACGACATCTATTGCAACTAGTAGTAGGATACATACAATCTTTCTAACATTTAGGATTATTCCAATATAATATGAAGAAGTATCTCATTCCAATTTTGGATCTTTCTAATTCATAATTAAAATTTCTTATTAAAAATAACCTACAACAAAGTAATTAGATAGTATAAGAACAGATTACTGGACCTATTCCAGTTTTATCATGAACATATAGTAACTAGACCTAATTGCAAACTTTAATACTTAAAATTCCTAGTGACGTGATCACATGAAGATGAAACAAGGAATTCATCTCAAAGAAGACTACCAACAAATGTGAATCTATCGAGTTTATAGAATATTACCCCTCTTAAATCAGAGTTCACCAATCTATCTTAAACTAGAATTCAGTATAGTATGCCATTATTCAGATGAAATTCAACCCCTCAAATTGGAAGCATATCCAGAATCCTTTCCATCCACAAAAAGCTTATTATTTGAAAGGTACCTCTATTTAGACAAAGAGAACACAAAAGAAATAACCCATGAACTCAGGCTTCACATTACTAGAATCATACAGAGAAAAGCAGTTACATTTTCAATCCCTTTTAACAATTTCAGACTAATTTTGTAATTAAATTATCCATGGATAGGAAATCAAGAACAATTCAAATGACACTGCCTCTATACAAAATAAAAATGCTCCAGACACCAGACAAAAAGGCTTATAACATTTTGCTAAGCCACGAAAACTACTCACCAGATGATTGACAATGTGAGAACCAGAAGTATTGCCTCGTGAATTACAAAACCACTTCCTACAGGAAGGCACATTGCAGCGCACCACACAAGCTGGGTTTGTGACCCCACAATACCTGCAAGCATGCTCAGTAAAGTCCCCCTTGCCATAATCGAAGACCTCGTCGTCGCCGCCAGTGTCTTCAAAGTTCAGACCACTCATCCCCGCAGCCAAAGCCTCCACCACCCCGGTCTCCTTGCTGTTATTATTGTTATTTGCACCGCCAGTGCTGCCGCCGCGGGGTTTAGTAGCGGACTGAGAGGGTTCAGAGGAGGAAGGAACCTCGGCGGGGGAAATAGAATCGGAGGGTGTGGGCCAGGCTGAGGTAGATGACCGAATTGGCTGCGAGAGCTCTTGAAATTCAGGGTAGTCGAAGTCCTCTTCGCCCTGGGTGTTGAATTCCAGAAAGGTGTAGGCATCGTTCCCGGTGTCAGGCTGCGACGCCGTCTCGTAGAGATTGTTCGCCTGTGAATCCATGTTTGTCCTTCCTCTGCACCCTAACCAATTTTACAGAGGCGGAGAACAGAGATCACGAAATTGTGCAGAATCGGAAGAAATCTAGGGTGAATTGGAGAATATTAGGGTTAGGGTTTGGTGATGGGAAGGAAAAAGGGGTTAAGCGGAGGATGAAAAGGGGAAGATTGCCTGCCTGCAATATATGTATCTATATTGTGTGTAAAAAAATAATATGAATTGAATACGACGAGACTCGATATGGATGGATGGGTAATTGTATATGTGGGTGAATCCGGATCCGACCCGATCACAAAAGTGGTAACAATTTGAGTTTTTCCAATTAACTTGCAAATATCATTTAGGATTTTTTTTATTGGCTTCAATAGAGGTAAATCTTGTTTATCACTCATTACAGTCATATAGTTATGGGGTCTGATATAAACCCGAAACTTGAAAAAATACATGAGTCGAGTTTGAATCTATACTAATGAGGCTCGATGGTATGTGAGCTTCAGCCTATAGTAACGAGGTCCGATGGTGACTTGAGCCGACCCAAGCTCGGCTCAAGTGGCCCGATTACCAGCCCGATATCTAAGTGCCGCATTGCACGTGATTAATTTAATATATGATATTTTATTTTTTTGACTAAATTCAAGTTCTTTATAATGGGAAGTATACATTACAATTATAATAAGAAATATATTTCATTATTATAATAAAATTCATTAGTGATATTTGAATTACAGTGACAACATTATTTATACAATCTTATAATATAGAAACTCACTCGTCAAAAAAAATAACGACAAAGAAAGCGTAGAACTATTCATTGAGATAAGAAAGAAAAAAATAAAAATTAAATTACAAAACTAGAAGAGAAAAAAATAAACATAGTTAGTATAAAATAAAACGGCAAGCCATCCATCTTATATATAAAAGGAATATATTTTTACTATAACCCTAGAGCTAAACTTAGGGGCATTTTTGTTATTTCATATTTCGGCAACTTTTTTTGTTTTGTAACTTTTTCAATTTTGATTTTTTTGTTTTCAATATCCATTCCATTCATTTACTGATCAATAAGAAAATTTGAAAAAAAAAAGGGATGATATAAAACCTCGATCAAGTGATAAGTGTAAACAAAGGGATGATGGCCGAAATGGAAAAGAAAAAAAAAACAATCCAAGCTGAATTTTATTCCTTGATAAAATGAAGGGTGTAGAGATCAGTAGTTCTTACACCTCCTTGAATTTCACCCATCGGATATAAGTGAGTACTCACAAAGAAAAGTAACGAGATTGGGAGACATGAGACTCATCCCATAGCTCAAACGAGATTGCGAGCCAGGAGACTCATCTCATAGCTCAAGAAGAAATGAGATTGGGAACCAGAAGATTCATCTCATAGCTCAAACGAGATGGGTTCACGTGCCAATCAACGCACTCTTCCCATGCCAACCACGATCCTTGAAGAATTAGAAAAATATATATACATGGATATCGAAGCAAACAATGACTTCATCGAACTGAAAAAAATGAACGATCATACCCTAGCTAGATCTCAATTTAAACACAATAGGATGCGACACCATCTTTGAAAACATAGCCGCAAGAGATTGGGAGTCTTTGTGCAATAAGCCGGTTGATGTCAACCTCGTCATAGTCTTCTATGCAAATGTCGGATATTATAGTGGCTCGGTGGTCTTTCTTCAGGGTGTCAAGGTTCGCCACGCCGCCTCCACCATCAACGAGTATTACAAACTGCCTAACCTCCCAACTGAGCCCTTCCAAGAGTTAAAATTGAAGACATGCTATGCTCACTTGATCGAGGCATTGTGTCCCAGGGGTTCACATTGGGGACCAGGAGAGAAATACATATATCGTGGGGAAATGTCGTGAGATGAGGAAATTTTGATATACTTTGTTTCTTCCTGATTGATGCCAACACGGCAGACGGTCAAGACACACGCCACTTGACTTACCTTGATGCTTGACATTATGAACAACACGCCCCTGAATGTGGGCGAGATATCTACACTGAGATTTGAAGTTGCATGTGACATTGGGCCCTATGTTCTTCTCTCTCATCATTGCCTTGTGCCAAAGGGCTAATGTCCAGAGGTTTTATCGACGAAAAATTCATCAAGCTAACGAGAGCAATTTTTGAGTTTGAAAAGATTCAACCAGTGAGCGACCACAAGATGTGGGCCACGGTCCAGAGCCAGATGCACTAGGGACATCGACTGCCCGAGCAGCTCCGAAGGGCAAATGTAGAAGCAAGCAGCGGCAACCCCACAACTCTGCTCGGGAGTGGGTGGATGTGATGGAGGCCAATGTGTGATGTTTCAAGAAGATGATAAAGGAAATGACGGAAAAGCTCGAGTGCAGAATAAATGATATTGCCGATCCAATCGTTCCCACAACGGTCTATATCTGACATAACATCTACTTCAACATTTGTGATCCATGACTTGGAGGATCATGAATGCGAGAACATGGATTGCGAGGGAGACCCTTGCAAGGAGGATCCAGCTGACTAGGGGACATTGTGCATTATTCCCCTTTTATTTTTTTCTTTTGTATTCATCATAGGGACTACACTCGATTTTAAGTTTTAGGGTGGTGTATTTTGAACTTGTTTGTGTTTTTCGTTGTTTTTGTTTTAGTCTTGGGATTGATGTATTGTTTTCTATATATATTATTGCGTTGTTAGACTTGGTTTATCTTATTTTGATTTAGTCTTTTACACGCATTTGATATAATAGTTTTGTTTATGTATTTCAATTTCAGTATTGGTGTTATGTTTGTCGCATTCATATAATTTAAGATCGAGTTTAAGTTGCATGTTCAGACTCTATTGAAGCAGATGAGCTAATGAATTAGTCGACTTGTTAGTTGACTTTAAAATTAAAGTTGTGCATGATAAAAAAAAATAACTGATGAACGTTTCGCGTTGAATAGTTGCAACTTGTTTTGATAGCTTTTCGATTTTTGTACGAATATTAACACATGTCTGAGGGGTATGAGTCTTAGTAT